GATGCTTTGTTTGTCCTCAAAATGGCTTCTACCCTATATGGCCTCATTGTTTTGTGCTTCTCTCTCCCCTCTTCCTTCTTTCCTTCCCTTCTTCCTTTCTTCCTTCTTTTCTCTTTCTTTTTCTTTCTTTCTTTCTCTCTCTATCTTTCCTTTCTTTCCTTCTTTCTTTTCTTTCTTTCTCTTCCTTCCTTCCTTTCTTTCTCTCTCCCTCGCTCCCTCCCTCCTTCTCCTCCCTCTCTCTCTTTCTCTCTCTCCCTCTCTCTCATGTAAAAGTGCTGGCCAGGTGCTTTTGTCTTGTGACAAATGCCTGCAATCCCAACGCCAGTGAAGATATGAGTCTGCGGCTAGCATGGGACACACAGAGATGAGCTAGTCTCATCTCCAAAACACAAACAAGTTCCACAAAACAAAAATAAAACGAAGAATAACATCACCAATATAAAATGCATGCATGGAAATAAAGTCTTACCTCTTTCTTTCCATCTCCTCTTCTTGTGACCTCAAAATATGTACAAACGTTTCCATGAACTGTAAATAGCTACTAGGAGTGATATAGTAGTGCCTTTTAGTTTCTTCAAGGTATTGTGTGCACAAGTCTCTTACACTTTTGTGGATCTGGACACACGTTAGGGCAAATCTTTCTCTTAAGTGCTGAAGAAAAATATTTTTTAAAGAATCAAAGGCCAGCAATCTGAATATACAACACAAGCAGAAGGGTGATAACTGAAAGTGGTTGGTCACTTCTGAGATGTAGGGCTGTGTGTCTAGATTCTGGACAATCGGTACCATGGGGTGGCAGTGGCTGGAGAGAGGCAGGCCTCAGAGGAGGCAGCCGGGCAGCAGGTGTGGTCTATGGCTGCTCCCCGGCCTCGCCCTCAGGCTTGCTGTAACTGCTGGTGGATTTAGGGCACCAGGACCATGCCAAGGGATAATATCTCGATTCCTTTGTAAAAGTACTTGAGAATAGCAAGATATTGAGGGAGGAAATTTCCTTGAGTCAAACAAGGCTACAAAAGTGTAAGGGCCCAGAGAAGAAGGAGTGCCCAGCGCGTGTAGACATAACCCCAGCTTGGTTTCTTGTGCGTAATCGCCAAGCCCAGAGGATCACTGTCAATCCAGCAGCAGCTTCCCCTCCTCCCAGCACACAGACAGACGGCTCTCTCCAGCCCTCTTAAGAAGCACCCCCTCCTCTTCCGCAGCATCCCACAGAGCGTAGCCCTTTGGTTCACCCCAGAGGAGCTCCTCACCACTGGCTCGCCAATCATGCACTAAGTTCACACTGTGGGGAGAGTTCTTATTTCTTTGCTGTAGATGTGCCAGAACAATTCACAATGTCGAGTAGACTCCTTACAAAAGGGTCTGTCAACAGACCCTCCTGTCTCTCCACAGACACCTTTCTGCTTACCACAGGGACAGAGCAGAGAGGAGAGCCAGGAAGCACAGAGCTGCCATCTTTAAAATGGGCTGGTGAGCGGGGAGGGAGACGGGGGCTGACTCACTTCACCATCTGGCTTAGAGCTGCCCATTCTGCCCATCTAGAGTTCAATGCTGTTCAGAGCTCAAATACTGTCATAGGTGATGAATAAAGTGAGCCCTTCACGGGCAGCAGGTACCTGTCTGTGCTTTAAGTTCACTTTCTCCCTTAGGTAAGAGTTGGCCACCAGAAGGAGAGCTTCTTCAGGCCACCTCTGGTACCAGTCGATGGTACACGAGTTAACCATGGACGGATACCGTCGGCAGGTCTGGCGAAACTGAGACCCTGCAGGACTCATGACCAGGCAGATGTGCAGGTTTTTAAATATTCTCTGAAATTAATAAAAATATGTTATCAACATCTTTGAAACCTGGTTCAATCGGGTAGGCGAGAGACAGGCCAATTGTGCATGAAGTGCGTGCTAGCCACGGAGCTCTTCTGAGGAATCTGAGGCGTGGGGCCCACCCAGCTCCACCTTCGAGGGGAGATGCTTATAAATGAAACGTGTACCTCATCAACGCAGAATCCAGACCCCACAAGATGTCCAGTGTGACAGTGGAGGAACCCTGCCTCACGCCCCCCCCCGCAGGTGCCTTGTACACGCGGTGTACACGCACTTGCACACGAGAGCTATCAACCTGACAGAACCGCATACATTAGCCTAATTAACCAGCCCAAACGATGAAGAATACATTAGCCTAATTAACCAGCTCGAAGGATTAAAACATACATTAACCTAATTAACCAGCCCAAACAATTAAAACATACATTAACCTAATTAACCAATAGAACAATTAAAACATACATTAACCTAATTAACAATAGAACAATTAAAACATACATTAACCTAATTAACAATAGAACAATTAAAACATACATTAGCCTAATTAACAATAGAACAATTAAAACATACATTAGCCTAATTAACCAACCCAAACAATTAAAACATACAGTAACCTAATTAACCAGCCCAAACAATTAAAACATACATTAACCTAATTAACCAACAGAACAATTAAAACATACATTAACCTAATTAATCAACCCGAATAATTAAAACAGATTTCCCTTCTCCCATATACTTTTTTATTGGCACCAGTGAGTTGCAGAAGGGAGTTTTGTCTTGACCTGTCCATGAAATAGATTTCTGGCTGGGATTCATGGTTTATTACTCTTTGAGTTCACTATTCACCACACCTGAATCAGAATTTCTCTGTTCTTCCTTACCACTCACAATCTAGTTAATAAATCAGACAACTTACCAGACAAATGTGCTATTTTAAAATGTAGCTCACACCTGGGTCACGGAAGAAATTAAGGAAGAAATTAGAAAGTTCTTATAACTCAATGAAAACGAAAACACAGAACCTCTGTGACATAGGAAAAGCTGTGCTGGGCGGAAACTATCGCTCTAAGCACACACATAAAGAAAATACAAACAGTTCAAGTAAATAACCTCCTGATGCAATTAAAACTGTTAGAAAAACAAGAACAAACCCAACTCACAACTACTAGACAGAGAGAGATAGCAAAGATTAGGGCAGAAGTTAACTAAGTAGAGAACCCCCACAAAACCCCCAAAAACTATACATAAAATCAATGAAAGAAAAAGCTGGGTTTTTTTTTCAAAAAATTAATAAAATTGACAGACTGCTAGTGAGATTGATGAAGAAGAGAGGCAAGATTCAAATCAGTAAAATCAGAGATGCCACAGGAAACATTACAGCAAACATCCAAATGATGGCAAAGGACTACTTTCAAAACCTATACTCAAAAAAAAAGAAGGAGCCGGGCTGGTGGCTCAGGCCTGTCATCCTAGCTACCCAGGAGGCTGAGATCTGAGGATTGCGGTTCAAAGCCAGCCCGGGCAGCAAAGGCTGTGAGACTCTTATCTCCAATAAAGCAGTGTCACTGTGGCTCAAGCGGTAGAGCTCTAGCCTTGAGCTGAAGAGCTTAGGGACAGTGCTCAGGCCGAGTTCAAGCCCCACGACTGA